GCACAACCCAGGCGATTGGCTTCGCAGTCTTGGGCTACCTGGACCAAAATCTGACGTCTGTGATTGTGAACAGGCCTTCCAACGGCCTCTCCAAGCCGCCCGGTTATCATCTTGACCCCCGGTGGCAAGCGAGGAGTTTTGAATGTTCTTGATTCTCTGTGATGTTGTAAAGCGGTTCAAGGTTTAGGTTTTGTAATTCTTTATGATTTTGTAATCGGTTTAGGGTTTAGGGTCTAGTTGCCAAGGCCCATAAGTTCTAACCCAGGACCTGTTCGTGCGTGGAGCGCTGACTCTGCCCGCCTGTGCTGTGCTCGGCCTGCCGCTTTCTGTGGCCTCGACGGTGCCAAGCATTACGCATGTGACTGGGTCCTTGTTGGGTACAGTTTCACGTTTTGGTTTTTATTAAAACCCAATGAGGATTAAACATGATCGTTTTAAATGTAGCCTCAACACGGAACCAGGTGATCTCGCTGACCACTTACGACGTGCAGCAAATGCCAGGTGGGGAGCGCAAGGTGCCTACGAAGGTGGTGGAGAGTCTTTGTCATAGTTGGGTACGATTGTAAGTTTTTATGGCTACATAAACCCAACAAGGAAGAACAAACAGTTACAGGTTTAATACCATCCCAACCATGAACTAGGAATCGTCTGACGAACTTCCTCATCCACATCCTGGTTGGTTGCGCTCTCTTCTTGGCACCTGCGCTCAAGTTCTTGCCGCGCTCCGTGCTGCAAGGCGTCTTCTTCTACATGGGCATTGCGAGCTTGACCGGCAACAACCTCTTCGACCGCTTGAAACTGTGGCTCATCTGGGACTCCTCCAAGTACCCACAGCGCCTTGCCTGTTTTCTGGACTCCTGCAACCTTTAACTCCTAAACCCTAAACCCTAAACCCTAAATCCCACTAAACCCAAAATAAATCCCAGAACCCTAAACCCTAAATCCCAGAACGTTAAGCCTTTAACTCCCGAAGCTCCGGGGCCTGAGAAGGCCGAAAATCTAAAAAAACCCCAAAACCCTAAACCCGGAAGCATAAAACCCCCCTTTAGGGTTTAGGGTTTTGGGGTGTAGGGTTTAGGGTACCGCTAGGATCTCCGGGATGCAAGGCTTCCTGGAGAGCTCGACGCCTTAAGAAGACCGAATATGGGTAGTTCTCTAGAGTAGGGCCCCCTTTTTAGGCCAACAACATAGTACGGCACCCTTATAAAGGGACCCCAAAAAGGGACCCCAATTTAGAGAACGACCCATATGGATATGGACAAATATTGTTCCGAATTCTAGTATAGATCGAAGATGTAGGAATGTTGTGGCCAGTGCACCCGTCTGCCGTTGTACTCCATGCGTCAGCTTGCAAGGTGCAGATGGGGTGTAAACACAACTGCTTGATAATTATGTTTGTGTGTATATATCCTTGTATGAATGTGTTCTGTGCGTGTTCGTCTGCGATATTTGCCTTCTATCTTAAACCCGAAACGGTCCCTAAACCCTAAACCCAAAAAAAGAACCCGAACCCCAAGCCGCCCTAAACCCTAAGCCCTTACATCACCAGAGAAAGTCCTCCGTAGGAGGCCATGGCTTTGTCCCCAAAGTGTTCGATCACCACTACTTACACACAGACGGCAACTACCGAAGAAGAGGGGTTGGGGTGAGCTTGGTCAAAAGAAGCCTATTGATGCGCAGATCCCTCCGGTTTCATCTCTTATCAGGGGACTAGGTTCGAAGGCGTCGAGCTACAGCATGGCCTGGATATAGATGTCATTCTTTGGGAATTTGTGTGAGGTACCACTACGTTCGGAAGCTTCCCATCCAGCGGGTGCACCTCTACACCCTCGTTCAGGTGGGCAAACGCGCCTTTCCAGTTGCTCTTGCATGTTCAACCGCGAACCTGAAACCTTCTTACCCTAAACCCCAAACCCTCAACCCTACAACTCTACAGCCCTAAACCCCTAAACCCCTAAACCCTCAACCCTCAAACCCTAAAACCCTAGACCCCTAAACCCTAAACCCTAAACCCCTAAAGCCCTTAGCCCTAAACCCCTGAAGCCCTAAACCCCGAAACCCCCGGGGGTTGGGATTTGGGAGGGTTTCAGGGTGTAGACTTCACAGGGCCTAGGGTTCAGACTTCTGGGTGTTGGTGGTTTGTGAGGGGGCGGTTTGGGTTTAATGTGTAGGATTAGGGTTTAGGGGTGTAGGACTAGGGTTTGGGGTTTAGGGCTTAGGGTTTAGAGTTTAGAGTTTAGGGTTTAGGGTGTAGGATTAAGGCTTACTATTTCAGATCGTTTAGCAGTCACCATCATAATCAAGATCGAAGTCATTGGTCATCATCAAACCCTGAACCCTTGCTGCAACTTGCCTGCTCCATGTGGGCTTTTCGCATTTGACATACCTGCCGTCGGAAACAAGGCCCTTAATTAAGCAAAAAACCCTGAACCCTAAACCCCCAAACCCTAAAGCCCTAAACCCCCAACTCTAAACCTTCAACCCTCAACCCTCAACCCTAAACCCCTAAACATCATCGCTCCCGGGACAACCAGAAAACTCTTCAGCACGACAACTCCCCCGACTTTATGAGATGGTCCTGTTTGATGCTGAACATGGGTTTAGGGGTTCAGGGTTTTAGGGTTTTAGGGTTTAGGGTTTAGGGCTTTGGGCTTAGGGTTTCGGGGTTTAGGGTTTAGGGTTGCGAATGAAAAGCAGAGCAGTCTTCCACGCAGTTACCTATGCTTTGTGTGTGTTTATATCTTGTTTTATGTTGTGTTGTCTCATGCCGTTCTGCTTTATAGAATTTTGCCTCATACGCACGCGCGAGAAAAAAACGAATAGCATAGCAGCACAGGTCTGGTCGGGGGGGGAGCTTTTAGGGGTTTCCTAACCCCCCCCCCCCCCCCCCCTCCGAACACATACCGGTTGTATACTCAGGTCTTGTGGGGCCTCTTAGGGACGTTTAGGCTCCGACAGGGTGTTCTAGGGTTTTAGGTCAGAGTTGCCGGGGCGGCCTGAATCGCTAGAATAGGGTTTGGGCAGGTTAAAAGCGTTGCAAATGACAAAGCCCAGACCGTTTGCAATTCCGACAAGCTTTAAACTTCATCGACATCTAAGTCTTGTAGGCTTGCAAGCCCGCCATGCCAAACCTGAAACACTGATGAAACCCTAAAATCCATGAAGTCTCATGCGGCGGGCATCGTCAGAAGATCGATTGATTTTTTTTGGAAGGTCATTTGCCTTGCTATCCTCTACGGCCTCAAGGCCATCAAGGAGAGGTTTGCTTCGGCTGTTGCAACTTTCGGGTGTAGGGTTTGGGGTTGTTAAGCCCTAAAATGTAAAGGGCCCTAAACCTTAAACCCTCAAAGCCGTAAAGCCCCAAAGCCGTAAACCCCGCAGCCTGATGCCTGACTGTGGTTTCCTTGCAAGCAGGGTTTAGGGTTTAGGGTCTAGGGTTTAGGGGTTAGGGTCTAGGGTTTAGGGTCTAGGGTTTAGGGTTCAGGGTCTAGGGTTTAGGGTTTAGGGTATACGACTGTTTTGGATTGGGGGCTCGAGGCTGGGATGGGGGCTTTGGTTGCACATGAGAGTGAGAATATGGTTTCTGTGAGAGATGGAGATTTAGGGCATTTAGGGTTCAGGGTGGGGGTGCGCTGTTACTGGCGCACAAGTGTCGACTCTGGCACGTCAGCGGCCTGTTTTGCTACATGTTGCAGAGGTGTTGCATACAACACGCTCCGGTGAAAACGGCACGTAGTTTGGCTGCGCAAGCAGCGGAGCGAGCCAGCTTCATGAGCGGCGCCTTTCGTTCGCCGGCAGCTGCTGCAGCTCCAAGCGAGGAGCCCACGTGCCCGTTCTGTGCACAGGAAGCGGGGACCGCGGATCATGTGCTCGGGCATTGCCCCGCGATTCCGGAAGTAGGATCCACTCCAGGCTCGCCTGGCGTGGCTCTCGGGGAGGAGGGACGACGAAGACATGATGTTGGCCCGTGCTATGTCAAGACACGGAGACTCGTCTTGCAGCATGGGGAAGAAGTTTGCGGGTTTCTCCTTAGTGTTATAGTAATTATAGACGCCCACACCCTTGCAAGGTCCCTTCCTGCTGCCTGGCCTTTCCCCTAAACCCTACACTCCACCCTAAACCCTAAACCCTAGTCACGGTGAAGCGGTGCCAACTTAATCGGCTCTGTCTCATGAGGCGGGCATAGGCAGAACATCGATGTACTATATATATATATATGACTTATTTAGTTAGGGTTCGGGGTTTGCAGCTTTGGTTTAAGGTCTCAAGTCTAGTAGGGTTTAGGGTTTCGGGGTCAGGGGACTGCTTTCATACCTTCCGGGTTCAACAGTCCCCTAAACCCTAAACCCTAAACGCCTGAACCCTAAACCCTGAACCCCTAAACCTGTATGCCCTAAACCCTACAAAGGGCCCCAAATTCGGCAAAGAGTTCCTTCCGGGTACCGCATTCTGTGGTCCAGAAAGTCCAGGCTATTGCCCTGAGCCCTAAACCCGAAACTCTAAACCTTAAGCCCGAAACCCTGGACCTTAAACCCTAAACCCTAAACCCTAAAGTGTCCATCCTGAAAGCTCTGAGGAGCCTGACACTTCCATCTTTTCGCCCATGGTACGGGAACGTTGCAGGAGACCTCCGTGGTGTTCCCCTTCTTCATGGCCTCCTTGGCGATCATCCGCAAGGCCCCTTCTAGGGGTTCGGGGTTTAGGATTTAGGGTTTAGGGTTTAGGATTCAGGGTTTAGGTTTTAGGATTTAGGGTTCAGGGTTTAGGGGTTTAGGGTTTAGGGGTTAGGGGTTAGGGTCAAACCCTGAACCCAAACGTCTTGGACCCTATACCATAAGCCCTAAAGCCTAAACATCCCTAAACCCTCAACCCCTTAGCAATGGGAGCCCGAAGCCCTAAATCCTCCACCTCCGTAACCCCAAATTCTAGAACCCTGAACTCCAAATCCTCCAGTTTCCCGTAGCTCTGAGCTTCGGGGCTTTGGGATTGACAAATACACAGACAAACTTGGGGGTCCTTCCTGGGAAGTTGCCTCGAGAATTTTGCAGGGACAGCTTTAATACTAGTAGTGTAGGGGCCTTAATAATTACCTATACTATTTTGCGGGCTCCTTATCATACCCACAAGCCCTATTCTAATTATTCAGGCCTCTACAGTAGTTATAGTATTGCAATACTTGTACAGTGTTAATGACAACAGCTTAAACCTAAATCCGAGTTCCTGGTGTAATAGCAATAAGACTTAGGAGTAGTATCCCTAAGCCCTGCAATAATATCCCGAGTAGAACTACCCAATCAGAACCCTTATAGAAACCCTATAGAAACCCTTAATGGATCCCTTTTACGGAACCCCTCAAAGGGACCCTAATTTAGAGAACTATCATCATGCTACTGCCAATGGCTGAGACGATTTGGGCCGAGCCGGGGATTGGAGCTGAGGGTTTGCAGTTTAGGGGTTCTTGTTGAGGGATTTAATCTATCATGATAGAGATCTATAGTATATAATATGGTTTCATTATTAGGGTAACTTAAGTTAAATCCCCTCACAAGAACCCAGATTTAGGGCAATTTGGGGTTTAGGGTTGAGGGTTCATGGGCTTCTGAGCTACATGACTGCCCGGGGTCCTGGCTTGTGAATGACTTGTTGGGTCTTACGCAAACTTTGGGTCTTGAGTCCTTTTTTTAATTGGGTTGGGGGGCTCCTGGGTTGTAGGGTTTATCTAGGACATTTCCAGGTGGGTAGTTACCGTTATAGGAGCCTTATAGAAGGTCTATGTACCTTACAGAAGCCTTATAGAAGCCCTATATACCCTAAACTCCCCACCTGTAGTTTCCTTTAAGTTTAGGGTTTAGGATGTAGGGTTTAGGGCTGAGGGTAGTTTGGGGTCTGGGCACAGCTACCTTGCCAAAGCTTTCAGAGTGTTCGCAGACACGAGGGTGCAGAGACAATGGTCACATGGTGGGGCCATGCTTCTATCTACAGCCGAAGGCCTCCTTCCAACGCTAAACCCAAACCTCAGGCCCTAAACCCAAAACCCGAAACCTTAAATCTCAAATCCTATACCCCAAACCCTGAACCCTAAACCCTGAACCCTAAGCCCGCAGCCCTAAACCCTGATCCCTAATCCCTGAACCCTAAGCCCTAAAGGCCCTAAACCATCATAAACCCCAAACCCAAACCGCAAACCCAAGTCTTCCCGGCCCTTGGTCGATTCTGATCTTGGTGCTGCAGCCCGGTCAGCCAATGACTCACAGGATTAGCGGGAACTTAGCAACGGCTCTTAAGTATATTTTATTTAGTAAGGGTTTAGGGTAACCCTAAACCCTAAGCCCTAAACCCTAAACCCCTAAACCCCTAAACCCCTAAACTCCTAAACCCTAAACCCTATATAGACCCTAGGGTTCAGGGTTTAAGGATGCCAGCCCTTTGTGTTTAGACGGTTTAGGATCCGGGGCCGGAGTAAGCCCCTCAGCTTTTCTTCAGGGCGGTAGCCGCTTGCGGGGGGCTTCTGGAGTCGTTGGGCTTCGCCTGTTTAGGGGTTTCGGGATTTTGGGGTTTTGGGGTTTAGGGGTTTAGGGGTTTAGGGGTTTAGGGCTTCGGGTTCAGGTTTTTACATATCTTTGTTTTTAAGATAAGGCTCAGGGTTCAGAGCTTAGGATTCGTTCTTGTAGGTTAGTGGTCGATTAGGCTCTAGGGTTTAGTCGTAGGCGTGGGTGTTTCTTTGCGGTTCAGGGTGTATTTAGGTTTGTGAGGGCTTGGGGCGAACAAAAATTGGATCCCGTGCTTTTGTCCCCGCGAACCAGCCTATGAATGAAGCGTTCCCACATGGTTGCACCGCAATGCAACAGTAATGTGCGCGGTTGGTTACGGATCGAAGCTTGGACTAGGAAAGACGCTAGTGAGACCTGTATAAAGGGCCGAAACCCCGCAATGCCCTGCAACCCGAGGCGGGGAAAATGCAACGAGACATCCCGATCCTCGCAGGGAATGCGGTTCATGTTCACCAATGAGGAGCTGAAGGAGCTGGATGGCCTCCCCGGCGTGGAGGAGGAAGAAGAGGAGGAGGTGTCGCTTTTGGGGTTCTGGGGTTCAGGATGTTTATGGCTCCGGGCTCCAATGGTGTAGACGTTGCAGGGGGGTTGACATTAGCCTATTCCGGGACGTTTGTCTTGTACAGATGCATGTAGATTTGTTTGCTGAAGTCACCCAGATGTTCTCCGCTCATCCTTGCTACGACCACTCTTACTACTGCCACTACCACTACCACTACCACTACCACTACCACTACCACTACCACTACCACTACCACTACCACTACCACTACCACGACCACTACCACGACCACGACCACTGCCACCACTACCACCGCCGCCGCCGCCGCCACCGCCACCGCCACCGCCACCGCCACCGCCACCGCCACCGCCACCACGACCACGACCACGACCACCACCACGACGACAACGACTACGACTACGACGACGACTGCGACGACGACTACGACTACGACTACGACCACGACTACGATGACGACGACTACAATTACAGCTACAGCTACAGCTACAGATTCAAGGACTACTACTACGACAACGACTACTGACTACAGCTACTGCTGCTGCTACTGTTGCTACTGCTACTACTTCTACAACAGCAACAACAACAACTACTGCTGCTGCTGCTGCTCCTGCTACTACTGCTGCCCCTACCACTGCCACTGCTGCAGGTACGGCTGCTGCTACTGCGACTCCTCCCTTCTGCCACTTCTGCAGCTGCTCCTACTCGTACTCCTACTGCTGCTCCTGATCCTACTCCTACTCCCACTCCTACTCCCCGTCCTCCTCCCCGTCCTCCTCCCCGGCCTCCTCCTCCTCCTATTGCTACTGCTGCTACTGCTTCTACTTCTACTTCTGTTACGACGACGGCGACAAACAGCCCTGAGAGAAGCCGAAAAGGCACCGAAGCCGGACCTGCTGAACTTGGACGGCAAGGACCGGAACGCCCGGGATCCGAAGCTCAGGGGAGGCTTTGAGGATTGGCTCTTGTAAAAAGGTGGTCTTCTATAGCCCTAAACCCTAAACCCACGCCACAGCAAAGGTAAGACTCCCTTATAGTAGCAGTCAGTAACAGCTGCACAACAAGCTAGTTAGGTGCATCCGGGCCCTGGCTTTTGTTTATTAAGGGACTTCAGCTAAACTACATGATGATGATGGCGAAAAGCAATACCAAGGGCCTTCAAAAGTACCTTACTTCAGATAAATTGTATGATGATGAAGACAAGCAATATTAAGGGACTTCAAAAGTACTTTAGTAAGGGACTTCAGCTAATTTGTATGATCATGAAGAAAAGCAATATTAAGGGACTTCAGAAGTACCATTTAACGCCGATAAGACATAACCACCTAGCAGGATGCCTCGGCTGAGGGCAGCAAGGACGTCTGAGAAGGCGGGGTCCGAACCGGGCTTAGGGTTTAGGCTTACCTATAGTCTCCATTGTAGTTCCTTTTTTTGGTTTAGCCAATTCTATATTAAGGATCCTAAAAGGTAACCTCAAAAAGGAACAACAACGGAGACTATAGGCTTAGGGGCCCTAAGCACTAAACCCTAAACCTTAAACCCTAAACCCTATAAGCCCTAAACCCTAAACCCTAAACCGAAAAAGGGTTGTTGGGTTCCGGGTCAACGGCCCCCTAGCTCTCGGGACTTGGTGAGAATATGGGTGCGGGGTCGAAGGGGTTGCGGGATTTATCGGCTTTGGGTGCATATGAGTTAGGGTTTAGGGTTTAAGGTTTAGGGTTTAGGGCTTTAGGGTTTAGGGCTTTAGGGGTTTAGGGTTTAGGGTTTATGGGTTTGGTATTGCCTTAGTTTGGAGTTCAGGGCTTGGGCCAGAAAAGGCTTCGTCTAAGTCTGCGGGGTTGTGTCCCATCGCCCTCGTCCTGGCGCTGCACGGTAACTCCTCGCCGCTCAGTGTTTCTATAGAGGTCTACATATACGGTTTAGGGTTTAGGGTCGAGGGTTGAGGGTTTAGGGTGTAGGGTTTAGGGTCTACATACTGAGTAGCTCTGCCCGTTAAGAGTTCCCAATTCTATTGCGTCAGCCCATACACCCTAAAACCTAAACCTAAACCCTAGCATATGTATGCTTGCGCCTTAGGTCCTCAACCAAGAATCCTCCCTTAAGTCCTCAGCCCGCTCTCTTTTTCCGTTTGGGGTTTAGGGCTTGATCGGGCTTATAGGATGTCTCTAATTGGATTGCTTGCGTCCTGCGGTAAAAGACCGTAGGAAAGGGTTTAGGGTTTAAGCCCTAAGCCCCAAACCCTATTGGGGAAGTATGTGATCAGATTAGGTACGTGGACCGACTTTGCATGCTTGCCCTATGCCCTAATCCCTAAATTCCCTTTCTGGGGGCCGTTCCCATCCAGAAACTGAAGAGGACCCGGCAGCCCCCAAAGCAAAGACCCAGCCAGTTATGTCCTACACCCTAAGGGGTTTAGGGTGTAGGGGTTAAGGCTTATAGGGCTTAGGGGCCCTAAACCCCAAAGGTATCTCCTTGTCTAGTCTGATCCTTAGCTCTAGCGCCTTAACCTTCGAGCTGGTGGGTCTTTTTTCAGGACTGCCCAGTACCCTGAACCCCAAACCCTACACCCTAAACCCTAGACCCTAAACCCCAACCCCCTAAAGCCCTAACCCCTAAACCCTAAAGTCCTGAACCCTAAACCCTAAAGCCCTGAACGCTAAACCCTAAAGCCCTGAACCCTAAACCCCAAGCCCTACCTCCCTGAACCCTATAGTCCCACACTCTCGACCTCGACCTTCACAACCCTATTGACCCTCTTGAAGCTCGGAAATAAAACCCCTGAGGGTTTGGGGCTTATAGGCCTTATACAGGCCTTATAGGGTTTAGGGCTTAGGGCTTATAGGGTTTAGGGTTTAGGGTTTGGGGTGTGAGTCTATAAGGCCCATTGTTGGGAAACCATACCATCGTCTGGGATTTCGGGCTGGATGCACCGCATCATCTGATGCCCTGAACCCTAAAACCCGCTCAAGAGCCCAAGCGATCCATCCCGGGCAGCAAGGACAACGAAGAGCCGGCGTCTTGGAGTAGACTCTGAGACGCGCAGGGCCGTAGGAGACTAATTTTGCTGTTTTCTCCAGTCCCCTGGTCGGTTTTTCCCAGGCACTGCACTTTCTCACAAGACCTAATACAAGAATTGCCCATGCTATTTTGGGGGCTCCTTATTATTATAGATATATTATAGTGCAATATAGCCCCCAAAGCCGTATTCTAATTCCTAAGGCCCCTCATGTTACCAAAGCCTCTTAGCCCGAAGCCCGCGGTGTTGGCTCCTGTCAACCCTGGGCACCCGCTGCCGTGACCGGCCCTGACAGAGGACTCCGTTTGAATCATTTTTGCTCTTTGGCCCGGGGGCCGACCCTCAACCGAAAAGCCGTATGCCCTAAACCTGTAGGAGTTTTTCATGATTTCCCGTGCGGATTTTAGAAGGTTTCAGGTTTTTTTAAAAGTTAAGTTGCCTGACAGGGTCTTGATAGTTGGACGAGGGCTTCCGGTGACTGTCATTATGCATATTTCAGGTTGAGATGCCAGATACCATAGCAATCCTGCTGGAGCTTAACGCCTGGTTTGGGGCTGATCAATTGCCTCATGGGACATCTACGATAAGGACCTTTACGCCTTTGGGGTCCAAGTTATATAGGGTTTAGGGTTTATAAGGTTTAGGGTATAGACCTAAGCCTTAAACCCTAACTGAAGCCTGAGTCGTGCCAAGGACTTTTGGGTTACGGGGGGTTTTGGGTTTGAGAGGTTTACGGATCCTAAACCCTAAACCCTAAACCCTAAACCCTAAACCACCAGCGCTTTAGGGTTAGGGGTTCGGGCTCAAGTGCTTCAGGGATCGAGGGCTTCGACTCTGAGGCCCCGTGCCCAAACTTCAGGGCTTTAGGGCTTTAGGGTTTAGGGGTTTAGGGTTTAGGGTTTAGATTTTAGGGTTTAGGGTTTAGGGTTTAGGGTTCAGGGTCCATGGCTTTCCCTCGACGGTGAACCCGGTGAAGAGACGCGTGTACATACTTTTTCAATCCATGGCCTTGCTTTGATAAAGTGGTTCTCCATCCAAGTTGAGCCTACAAATACCCACCATCTACCGCAATCGCGATGAGCGCGTCCTTCCCTCAAACTTACAATGAACAAGTTCCAGCAGGTTGAGGTAGGTCCTGGACCAAAACCGGATGGGCCTTCTAGCCCATGAGTTGCCTGCAGATTTTTATCATCGTCTGCAGCAGTTTGCATTGCTCGCAGGTCCTGCGAAAAAGATATATAGGCACTGACACGGATCAGGCTGCGGTCTGGAACCGCGGCTGGCTCCTGGGCGGATGTCAGCCCCAGTGCACGACACCAGCTCCCGGAAAAGCTGCCGTAGGCAGCTGGAAGGGATGCTTTGCCGCACAACTTGCGCACAGGTGTCAAACCTAGTGACCGTCTGGAGATGGATCAAAGGGTGTGTGTGTGCATTTAGTTGTGATCCCTTCCCATAGGCTCCTTAGTAGTTCCTTTTTGTGGTTGGCATTTAGGCTCCTACAAGGTAATGCCCAACAAGGAACTACTAAGGAGCCCATGGGTAGTTATGCGCCACCCGGCCCTTACGGAGTAGCACCCTGGCAGTCGTGGCTCCATCCACTTCTTAGGCGGGTCATGATCTCAAGTCGAGGTTTGAGGTTTAGCTTGGAGGGTTCAGGGTCTAGGCTCGCTGTTTAGTGCTTTTAAGGCTTGCCGGAAAGAAATAAGTAAACCCTAAACCCTATACACCCTACAAGCCCTATAAACCCTATAAGCCCTATAAGCCCTATAAACCCTATAAACCCCATAGAAGCCCTAAGCCCTAAAGATAAGGCAAGGGCTAGCGAAGGAGCCCAGTGTGAAACCCCATCCTTTGAGGAAGGAGCCCATGGGTTCGGGCATGAGACGTTGCGCCTGTGAGACAGGGTTTGGGGTTTATAGGGGTTATAGGGGTTTAGGGTTTAGGGGTTTGGGGGTTATAGGGGTTTATGATTTTGGGGTTTAGGGGTTTGGGGTTTAGGGTTTATAGGGGTTTAGGGGTTTAGGGTTTATAGGGGTTTAGGGTTTAGTGGTT